CAGTGAGGGTTTCAAAAGGTCATGGAGAACTTTGCAGAGAAAAAAAAATATCACTTTAGTGACAGCTGTTCATTGTTTTCATTATTTGCTTTACATCATTGTTACTTTTGAGGAAGTGAATAAATAATGCTTTGCTCTAAATACACTATTTCTGAGTTGCTTTAATCTACTCACAACTCCCTAGCCTGATTTCCTTAGGTGCCAAACACATGTGGGCCACCGAGCTACAACAGAGGGGGAAAAGCAATCAAGAGGTGTAAAATAACAGTAGTTACAGCAGGTTCAGGAAACCAGAGCTATTATCTCAGAGGGGCTAAGAAAATCCTCTCAATGTCAAAAAGGGCGATTGCATATGTAACATGGTGCTAAGTTACATGATAAACAGCTATAATCTCTGCCCAGTCATTATCCTTAAACTGATCAGTTGAAAATCGGTGAAAGGAACCAATGCTAAATTAAACAAAGATTTTGCTCTGATTTTGATTGAGATTTCTCTTCTGTCTATAAACACATCAGAAAGACAGATCATGCCTTGGGTATTGGCTGGTCTATGCTTTTCTGTGTATCTTGCTTTGAAAAGCACTTAATAGATTTACGTCAGTCTGTAAAATGAACTGCATCCAGGGTAAGAGCTTGCATACCAAACTGAAAGCAGGTGCAGTTAAAAACAGAGGTGATACAAAGCTCTGAAAAATATTTGTGCAATGGGAATCCTGACAGTCTGCTTTACTACATCATCTTCAATGTGGTACAGTGATTCATGTCATAAAATGGTATGAGTCCCAGATACGTTATTGCATACCTGCATGAGAATGTGGTTTTACCACTCCATCTGCCTCTCAAACAGTATGAATATGTTGCAGTATGTTTAAAGAGATTTCTATTTAATTTGGTTAATCAGCCTTCACTCACAGCTCAACTTTTTGCATGGTCAGAAATCATATTTTCTGCTGGAATGCAAAAGCCCATTTTGCTTCGCAGTGCAATCATGTGTTGCAGTATCACTTAAAAAATAATTTCTCCTGCATCACGTATCAAACTAAACAGCTATCTGAGTCACATCCGTATTATTAAAATGGCAAACAAACAAAATCTGAACGTATTTCATTTTCTGCCAAACCCTAGCCTGTTTTTATGTAAATTACCATATCCAGGGGCCATAGTTGAAGGCTATTTATACAGTATATCAATTAAATCTTGACTTGTACTTCAGCCCTTTAATCAGTTCTGAGCTAGAAGTGATTTTATATAGTTTAAGGCCAGAGGGAACAGAGAATCTACACTGAGTTTGTGTATATTATTATACATTATTATAGTGTATGTATTGTGTTCCGTATAAAGATATATATTGCTATACTTATTAGAAAGTATATTACTATAATATAGTGTAGTCTATTATTGTATAATGTTAGGCTGTTAGATTTCATCCAGCTACCCTTATACCAAGACCACCAGATTTAGTTGCGCATCCTGCTCTCAGGTCATCCAGCTGCTCTGCACGACAAGTACTCTGCTACTGCACCCACAGCAGGTGAGGAAAACTACCTGAATGAGCCACTGAGGACTTTTATTTATGGAAAAATGAATCTTTCCGAGCAGTCTGATCAGAGACCGAGAATCAGGAAGGGAGGGAGAATCCCTTTTTGATCCTAAACCTGGCAGTTTTCTTTCTGTGTACAGGAGTAAAGCATTATGTGATGCACCTGAGAGATTTCTCTCTACTGGCATAAACTGACTGGTGTCCTGTCCCTAAGGGTGGCAGGTTTCTTGTGGCTCACAGGTATTTCTGGGGAAAACAGTTATAAGGATAGGAAAGAATGCATCTGCCTGATATCCTGGTGGGGTCAGAAAGGCTTCTTGACCCTTCTAAGCGACTTATGCACATCTTTCTTAGGCATGTATTGAGAGCGATGGGAATAATCTAGGCAGTTCTGTGTCCCCAGAACTTGCGAAGAGGAAATCAAGGGAGAATTTATAGATTCACAGATTCTGAAACCGGGAAGTACGACTCTTCCCTTTGAGCCTCAGCCCACACAGGTGGTAGAATTTCTCCTAAAAACTGTACTAAATATATGTTTCGGAAAGATATCAAATCTCACTTCAAGCGCTCCAGGTGATCTGGAGTTCATCATCTTCCTGCTAAGCTTTAATTCCCCTTACTGGTAGGAAACTATGCCTATTTTCAAGGTTGGTGCTTTTTTGCCCCTAAATTCAGTTTCCAGTCAGTAGTTCTGTGTCTTTGACGCATTAAAAGCACCTCTTGCTCTCTCCAGTTATTGGGTATCTCTTTGGGTCTCCAGAGAGAGAGAGACAAAGAAATCAGATGTTTCCTCAAACCAGTTCTTCAGTAAACAGAATATTGTTGTTAAGCCTCATTTCATAAGGCTTTTTTTTTTTTTGGGGGGGGCGGTGTCTTGAACTAATTTCCTCAGCCCCTCCTTGCACTCTGCAGTAAGTCTGAATTCTGGACACAATAGTCTAATAGTCTTATGTAGAAATGGAACTGCACAGACAGCTCTTCATTAGACCCTTGATCATAATACCGGCTAAGTAATGCTCTCCAAACTAGTCTCTCCTCCCTAAGACATTCTACATATACTGTTCACAAATGTTTTCAAAATGTATTTGACTGCTTTCTCATGTCAAGTCTTGAATCCTGACCCTGTAGTCAGAAGAGCCACGTAGATTTGTGATAGTAATTTAGCCTTCACATTTTTACCACCCACTAGTTTACAAAGCAGTACCAAGAAAGATTTGATATAATTGTCCAAATAGTAAGAATATTTAATAGTGTTGAGCCAAGAAGTGATTTCTGAGGACGTTGCTCTGCATTTTGATTTCTCTCAAATAATAATAATAAAAAAATAAATATACCACAATGACAGCTTGCAAATCATTCAGTGTAATCCCTGCTAATTCCATCTCAGTTTTAAATCAAGACAATAAGTGATAAAAAATTCAGCTGAGGTGCTGGATCTGGAAATGATTGCATACAACGGAAACAGTCTCGTCCTATTCTATTAGAGAGGTAAAACTTTCTATCTACATCAGCTGGGATAAATAAAACCTCAATTTTCATTGCAAATACAGAACTGAAACATGAGTTAAATGTCTCAGTCTTTTCTGTAACAGTATTTACAACTTAATCTAGAAACAGAACTCTGTTCGACCTACATTTTCGAGTGGGGTGGGGGAGAATTGAGGGGAGTAATCATATTGTATTTCCAAATGCCTGTATGTTGCCCTTGATTATACTGATCACTCTCATTTCACTGATACCTTTTGCTTCCATTATCAGTCACCTACGTTGAAAAAATACTTGTCCATCCTTTTTACTATCATTTTTACGTTGTTTTTGTTCTGAAATAGGCATTTAACCTAAAACAGCTTATTGCCCAGTGCTGCCTTTTTAATATCTGCGGCACTTGGGTTATGGGGGCAGCCTGCAGGATGCTCTTCAACAGGTCCCAGCTTTCAATAACACTTCTGGCTGCGGACTCACATTCCCAGACAGGTATGCCAAGAACAACTCCAATTTCAAAAAGGTTAACCCTTTTAAAATGATGACTCTATTCCTGCTACAAAATTACAGAAAACATATCAAGATCAGTGTGTACCTAGGCATCAATGAATTTTCAAGTTGAGCCTACACGTCAGGATAGTTTCACTACTGACTTGCTCTACATTGAACTCAGACTTTTCTTTAGGCAATGACAACCTAGCCTGTTTTCGCAACATTATAGTTTTGTTTCAGTTGCATGTTATGATACTAGCAGATATCCCCAAGATTAAGTCGGTCCCATTATATACTTTTTTTCTACCCATGTAGTAGGAGCAGAAGTTTAAGGAACATTTTTTTTTCTTGCACAGATGAAGTGGTCTGTAACACGTGCACACCTATACTCCATCCCCTTCCTGAAGAAAGCTCTAACTTCTATTATCTGAGGGCCTGAATCTTCTCTTGTGAACACTGGCCTTGAAGTAAAGTACCACCTTCCTGTCTCCTCTTTTCCCACTAGATAGTGCTTAAAAAAAGGGATCTTTTCTGTACTTTGTTTTGGGTACCATTACATACTGTGCTAGATCCCACCACTGAGCTTCTCACTGAGATCCTCTAATCTGATGTTTGCCCCATCTCTCCCATCTGGAGATGGGACCACATATAAGGCATAAAAGAATGGAGAAAATAAAAATAACGGGATGTGAAAGTGAAAGGAAAACCAAGGGGAATAAAGAAAATTAAATTAAATTAAATTAATGGGAAAAAAAAAAAAAAACAATGATGAATAGCAGTAGAAAGATACTATCTGTGGTTCCAGCATCTATGAAAAATGTAGGTGCCTTAAATTTTGTTTAAATTTTCAGGAAAAGTAGTTTTTAAATCAACTGTAGCATAAATATTTGCAGTTCTTTTAGTTATGAAAAATGAATTCCAAAGTCAATGAGAAAACAATACTTGTTTATATTATTTATTTTTATATTTTTCATTTTAAGTGTGATGGAAGCATTTCATAGGAGGGCATAGGCAACAACTGGTAAACTCCACATAAAAATTACACATTGCATTAATATATTAAGCATTGCATGTTCTTTATTTCAAAGAGAAATTATGATCAATTATTACAGCATGCTCACACTTTTGATGGAATATTAATAGCTTTAATTTCATTGAGATTGACAGACCAACTAGGGTCCAAATTCCCATTTGAATTTTTGCTCCTTGCTATTAAAAAAGCTATTTAAAATGTCACAATACCTGCAAAGATGTTGTGAGAAGGCCAGCATGATGACATCACCTTTTCATGTGCGTTGGTTGAAAAATAACTGACCCTAACTGTAAAATTTCCAAATTAACCCCCCCCCCCCAAAAAAAACAAAAAACCCAAATACCTGCCTAAAAATTTCCAAAAAAAACCCCCCCCCCCAAACAAAACACAAAACCGTAGTTGCCATATTTTCTTGTCATATTTTCTATTTTCAACCACACACAGTAGTTGCCATATTTTCTTGTCATATTTTCTCAAGTGAGGTTGGAGGAATGGGGGGAGGTTTAGAACAGCAGGGATGGTGAAAAGTCAGGAATAAGCACAGCTGGCAGGAAAGATCAAACATACAATAGAAAATATCAGAGGACTCAGAGAAAAAGGCACTAAATGACATATTTTATTTTTTTCCATAGACATCAATATTAAATGGAATCAGATCAGTTTTACTCTAGAGTTCTGTAGTGAAATCACAGAGTACTTCTTCAGAAATAAGATGGGAGTTTAGTAGTTAAAGCTTTCAGGGGGACCAAAGTTAGTCATGTATACAAACACTTTATAGTTGGTGGAAGTTAGGAAATAAATCTGAATTTTATTCACCACAATGCTATTACCTATTTTTTTTTTCAGCAACTTGTCTCATAATGTGTTAACCATCCAAAAATTAACATTTGTTCCTCTTGCAGTTAACATTTGAAACAATATTACTAGAAGACTTGGGTAAGGGACTGCTAATGGTTGTCCAAGAGCAGAAAACCATAAAAGCTCTGCTGAAAATATTTTGTTCTTGAACAATGGTGTTAGCCTTGTGGGCACACATTTATATACAGAGCTGCACACTCTCACACACTCAAATGCATTGGCTCCTACAAAACACAAAGTCACACGAGCTGGTCTGGGCTCTTCTCACTATTCTATGCTCCGAGACAAAAATATGGAGAGCCTGAAGACTTAGTTGCTACAAATGCATTAATTCTTCTGAGTTAACTCATCATCAGCTATGCACTCCAGAATACTTCTATTGATAATCTGGGCGTACCTACATAAGATGAAGTACATACAGTTATGCACTTAAATATCATCACTGTAATTAGCATGATGATGACAGAAAAATAATTTTAAAAAATAATCACCAAGTTCATGGCCAAAATTTGCCCCAGTAAACAATAATGGTGGATCTTATATGTGAGCAGTTGAATGAGGATGTTAGGAAATGACATGTAAGAATTTTGGCAGATTTAAGCCATTGAGAAAGACTAGATCATTTCTTCTGGAGTGATGGTAAGTTTGCAAGTGAGAAGGCAGAATGTGGGGCTCTCAGAGGTATCAGGTTTTAGTGCCCAGTTGTAGCCACCATCCTGCAGGAAAGATTGAAATTTAAGCTGTTCCCCCTCTGTCCTGTTCAAACTAGACAACACTGTAACTCTGAATGCAAGATCTGAGAGGGCAAAGGCAAAATGGCCCCAAAGGTGCTGATGCTGTAACCCAGTAAAAAGGGCACATTGCTGCAGGAAGAACTCCTGGCTTAGAGGCCCTGTTCCCAGGACTGGTTCTGTGTTTTTTCTGATGACACTTAAGTAGAAGCTCTATATGCAATCCTTGTAATGACGAGCAGAGCCTGTGGCTTTCTTCTCATAGTGACAGGCTTTCATCATTTGGAGATCTATGACTTTGATGATCTACAACAAAAGATCTTACTATGCAGGCTGATGGTTTTATAATAACATCTGTCTTATGGTAATATTTATTTGTTTAATTCTAGCAACCAAAATTGTAGATAAAAATCTCAAAACCCTAATGCTAATGAAATCTGCTTGCCTCTGGGATGTCACAGTATTACAGGGTGTTCAGAGGCTTTGTCATCCAGGAGGACGGGGTGGGGTGGCAATCAGGTAGTCAGTTGTCCAGGGTATTTATTTGCAAAAGGCTGTTCAATACTTGGGCGGAGGGTAGAGCATTCTCTGATCATTGTTTGGTCTAAGTCAAACTCAAGGAGTAGGAACTTTTGACAAAGGTTGCTGGAAATGAAATGTTTGTTTACTAAGTTACGTGTTTGCAATTCTGAATGCTGAAGGCCATCTAATGGAACGAGAAGTAGCTCAGAAGTTTTATGCACCCCAGGTGGAAGGTGAGTATTGGTGAGAGAAGCCTGCTGGGCCTCTACTTGCATCTTTTCAGGACATCTGCAAAGATGCAACTCTTACCATTACTTACCATTGCAGAATTTCTTGAGAGAGTCTTCTAGGCAACTGCAGTCTGGGGAGATCGTGGATATAAAACTTTAAAACAAAGGTGGAAAAGAAATTATTTCAGTGTCAAAGAAGAGGGTTGGAATGAGCTTCCCCTGCAATGGATGGATGAGAGGCAAGGCAGGCTCCGCTCATACTTGCCAGAGGAAAGGAAAGGAGAACATAGCAGGATAGAGTTGCTAGAGATTCCTGGTTCAGAACAGGTCTGCAACAATTTAACTAGCATGATCCAGGAATGCTTAGGTAGGTAATCAAGGAAATTACAGTGAGTACTTATCAGCAGAAACTGCCCTTAATAACGTTGCAGTTTACCTGGTTTTGGAGAATGAGAGATGGACATCTCATGAGTTAGTGTGGCTCTCTTTATCAGTCTCCTGGGACTTATTCATTTGGGACTCTGTCTCCTCCTGGGAATGACAATTTGACTACAGGGTCTTTTCAGAAGTTCAGTGATCTTCTCTGTTGTGTTTTCATGTATATTTATTCTTTCCCAAGTCTTCTATAGAGGTCCTTTGCTTTTTTGAAGAAAAAGGATTTAAAAGGCTTCTCAAACTATGGTCTCACTGCATTTTTGAAACGGTAATTCTGACTTCTTTTTCTGAGCCTGGGGAAAAGAGTAAGAAAATTATGCCATTCCAAGCTGCATAATGCAGTTTAAAGCTGCCTGGTGATATATTTAATTTGTGGGAAATAATTGAAACTGGACAAGGTGAATAACTAAATTACATTTTGACCTAGGATCATACCAAAGTTTTTGCTGGAACTGATCAGTGTGGAGTTCCACTGAGTACAAACTCCTCTGGTAACAGTGTTAACAGAGTGAGACCCTGGGATTATGTCCCAGGGAAATGCAAGACTTGCTTTCTTTTGTGTTGGATCTTTACTGTGGGCTGTGTATAGCAGGAAAGGATTTCCAGGTTTATGTGTATGAATAAGGGATAAAGGTGACTACATTGTGTCCATGGACAGATGTCATAGCACTGATAAACAGCCCAGAAGTCAGGGATCTATTACAATAATTTCTTCATGCTTTGAATGTTTACTCATTGCACTCAGAAAAGCAGACAACATTACAAAGAACAGCTCTGCAGATGGTGACAAGATCCCCTGCAAAGCTTTAGATATTTTAGGGCTGAGATATTTTAGTGGAGAATTGCTAGTTGAATTAAAATCAGAGAAGCAATTTATTTTCTTCAAGGTTAAGTTAGAAAAGATGGAGCCTGACACTGCCATATAGCATTGATTTTAATAAAAAGCACTCTTTTTTGTCTCATTACTTTAATAGGGTTTGCTTAGTTATATTCCCCTTTTGTAAAATTGCTAGTTAAATTTATACATTGTAAGGTCATAAATATAAATTAGTGAACAACTGAACAGTCTCTTTTCCAGTTAAAAAGCATGATTTGGAGATTATATCCTCAGGAGATTTTTGAGAGTGCTGCTAATGACATTTCATGTTCATGAAGTTCATGTGACCGGGGTTGGGAACAGGCTCCTATTTCCTCCCTTCCTGAAAAGGTCCCTGGGAAGAAATAGGGTACTTTATAGGGAAGGACATATAAAAACCTCCCGACCACCACTTTTTTCCCCTTTTTTCCCCCCTGTAATAGTCTATATAGTTCCTTTCTTAATAGACTTAGATCTTGAACTGGTAGAGCCAGACAGTGGCATACTAACACACTGGCTCAAGTTGTAGGACTACACTTACCAAAGGGATGTAGGAAGCATCTTCTAGAAGATGATTGGCCGATACAGAATTGTCCAAATTATACAGACATCCCAAAGAAAGAAATATTGTGAAAATAGTATTTCCCTTCATACACAGGGATGTTTACAGTTGTAGACATTTTTAAATTGCCCATCAGCAACAGAGTTTTAGTGAATCACATAAGTGGTAACGATTGTCTTTTTAACTAGATTCTAACATTGATTAAATATTGAAAGCTTACTCTTAATAATTTCATTATTTTCTTTCGTGCAATAAATACACATCACAGTGTATTAATTTTCAGATACTTGGTGATTGCTTTATCATTTTTCTCTCCGACTTTCCAGTGTTGTTAGTTCATATGCTCCAGGAAAAGATGGAGTTTATGTGAAAGCTTGCCCAACTTACCATTAAGTCTTTAACTTCTTTTTATAATTTTAAATTAAGCATTCTGCTATGATACAGTAAGGGAAAAAATAGTGAGAAATGTATTTTTCTCCAATTTCCTTAAAGAAACGAGACTAACGTAGCTGTGGTATCTATGTGTCAGTCAGAAAATTTGAAATCGAAAAATTTCAAACAAATTGGAGGAGTACAGACTTTAAAGATAGTGTCTACATGCTATGCGAAAACTGGTTTCTTGGTCAAGATGAGTTTCAAAATAGTATCTCCATCAAGGAAAACTTTAACTTTTTAAGATAAACATTCCAGTCAACATTTATGCATTTTAGCTTTCCCAAACAACATCACGTAGCGGCAGTAAATCCGTGTGTTGGGTTTGCATGGCAAGGTTTTGGTAGCAGGGGGCTACAGGGGTGGTTTCTGTGAGAAGCTGCTAGAAGCTTCCCCCATGTCCCATGGAGCTAATGCCAGCCGGCTATAAGGCGGACCTGCCACTGGCCCATCAGTGACGGCGGTAGCGCCTCTGGGATAACGTATTTAAGAAGGGGGAAAAAAACTGCTGAGAACAGCAGCCAGAAGAGAGGAGTGAGAATATATGAGAGAAACGACTCTGCAGACACCAAGGTCAGTGAAGAAGGAGGGGGAGGAG